AAGAGTGGGTGACATGCAAAGAAAATGATCTTTGCAATAACATTGTGAACAGATATGAGCAGGGCAAAACTGCAATTGTCACAGTCAGTGCGATTACTGAAGTAAAGAGGATAATAGTTTAAATTAGGACTGTCAAGCAATTAAAAGGCAGAGGGAGAGCCCAGAGCTGTGTGTGTGTAGAAAAGTGAGAAGCCTGGTGTATGGCTCGGTGACATGCAAAGAAAATGATCTTTGCAATAACATTGTGAACAGATATGAGCAGGGCAAAACTGCAATTGTCACAGTCAGTGCGATTACTGAAGTAAAGAGGATAATAGTTTAAATTAGGACTGTCAAGCAATTAAAAGGCAGAGGGAGAGCCCAGAGCTGTGTGTGTGTAGAAAAGTGAGAAGCCTGGTGTATGGCTCAGCTGGGCTGCGGAGAGCAGGGAGGGGGCCAGGAGCCAGTGAGTGGCTCAGCTTTCTGGGGGAGGAAGGAGCCACATGCATAACTAAGCTGGGCTGCCCAGGAGAGCTAAGAAGCCTGGTGGGGCAGCAGGGCAGGTGGTGGGGCTGGAAGCAGGAGGGCCCAAAATGACCTCCCCATGTCTGGCAAAATCCCTCTGAGATTCAGTCAGGTCCTGGGGGTGCCAGATCAGGGAGGTCCAACCAGTATAATATGAATTACACGGCAAAATATGGGTAAAACAGAGCCAGAGATATACAATTCTCCCCAATGCAGTGCAGTCACAATTTAATTAACACGCTTTTTTTAATGAGCATCATCAGCATGGAACCATGTCCTCTGGAATGGTCTCCAAAATACGAAGGGGCATACAAATGTTTAGCATATCTGGCATGTAAATACTTCGTAATGCCGGTTCTAACTTTGCTACAAAAGTCTCATGTGAATGCCTGTCCTCACTTTCTGGTGATACTGTAAATAAGGAGCAGGCAGCATTATCTCTTGTAAATGTAAACTAATTTTTTTGTAGTGAGTGGCTGAATATGAAGTATGCTGAATGGACTTTTAGGCTCTAAAGCAGTGCTGGGCAACCTACAGCCTGTCAGGATTCTATGTGTGGTCTGAGAGACATTTTGTTGACCACTGTAGTTGACCATTGTAGTTTTTTTTCCTACCAGTATTACTAAAGTGGCACATATGTAAGGCAAGGGCACGTGAAGTGAGATGCATGGAAACTGGACACAACACTGACTGTGAGAGCCATGCATTCCCTCTGCAAAGTACTACTATTCAACTGGCATACTCTACAAATTCTAGGTATACAAGCACAGTCAGCAAAACTACAAGCAGTCCCCGGGTTACGTACAAGATAGGGACTATAGGTTTGTTCTTAAGTTGAATTTGTATGTAAGTCGGAACTGGCTCCAGATTCAGCTGCTGCCACTGAAACTGACCAGGGGCTGACTACAGGAAGCC